CTAATAAGAAGAATATTAAATGTTATAAACAAAATATAAATTTTACATTCACAAGGAAATTAAATTACTCTTTACCTCTTCCTGATCCATTTATAAATTATTAGCTTAACAAGAATATTGAAATTTTAAATCAGTATTGCCATCATGCGTTAAACAAGTTCAATATTTTATGGTTTCTATAAATAATATGAAGACGCACACTTTTTTTCTAATATTGAAACAGAATTGACTCATTTACTTATATGGCATGGTCAAGTACAACTGCCAATATAAACCAAATTTGAAACTGAAATTCTCAAAGTCAATTTTCCTGCAACTCTGAATTCCCATTATCAAAACTGTTACATTAATGCATTGTGCGCGTCCCAATAATTTGCCAGAATGCATAATAGGATCTCCTATAGCAGAATTTTACCAAAACGGCTAGTTATAAATTTGGCTTACAAATAATTTATGGTATTGTTAGGGTACATTGGCAAACACTCTCTGAACAAATAATTTAGAAATCCATTATAGACGTATTTATTGCAGCCGCACAAACTGTTATTTATGATCACAAAAGGTTGCAGAACGAAATACACCTCAGCGAGGAAAAATGCGATAATTGAGTTAACTGGAAATCATTATCGAGACAACTTTGGTGGCACGTAGAAAACAAAATTTGGAACACGGTCCATAGATAAAAGTAGTAAATATGTCTGGCAATTATTCACCAAAGTGGAGCTGTTCCGTTGCGCAATTAAGAAAGTGAGATATAAAAGCGAGGCGTAACGTAAACATTCGCACAGAAAGAAAGAAAGTCGTGTATTTGTAGGTATGCTTGTGAATTCTTCGAGCCATTAAAATGTAGCCTCTTTTTACTACAGGAAAATCATGTCTATATCTTGGTCCAATTCTAGAATTCATCTGCTAATGCCCTGGCATTAGGTAAAATTAGTTAAGATATTACCAAAGGACTGTTTAGTTAGTTAGATAGATAATTTAATTTAGTTGACCTTGATCCTATTTACTAAGGAGCATTTGTAAAGCAACATCAGTATCAAGCGTCATATATAAATTCCCCTATGTAAATTCTCCTGTGCCAGCAACATTCTCGAGACGTTGAATATATATGACAACTTTAATAATAGACTCTGGAGAAGCGACATTTGGCCTTATGTTGAAATTAAATTTGACGAAATTGGGTCCATTCATTAAGTTTACATATAACCTCCAGCATTCAGACTGTTTCAAACTATTTCCCATGGCGCTGCTTTATGTATAGACAAAGTGGCTGCAAATGAAGCAACTTTTTATTTATACTTTACTATTTCGAAATGCATAAACTAGAAAGTAAAATAATTTCGTAAGTACAGCAAATCCATTTGTAAAGTCTAGAGCCTCGCGTTGAATAATGTAAGTTGTAACGTACCTAGTTAAAAGATGCCTCATTGTACAAAGCTGCCTTTGTCTAGCATGTCATTGTTAACATTTACGCTTTGTTCAACCCATTATTCCTTACCGAGTGCCCTTTTTTTCTCCCATTTTAAAATATATTAAATTTTTGGTGCACACGCTTTGCTAACGTTCTAGTTACTCGGATTCTCTAAGATTTCCATTCCACCTCATTCATGATCATTACCTTTTACTTAGCAGCAAACTCGTTTAAAGAAGACGTAAATAAAAGGTAATGGCTGTTCAAATAGAAAAGTGCAATTAAAACTTCCATTTGTGGAATGCAATACACTCTATTCGGGATAGCGACAGTGAAGATATTTGCACTTAACTGTTACTATTTGATTGGCATTCCTTGATTGGCTATAATTCTGTAATTTTCACATTTTGTTGCATTTTGTTTCTTGAGAGGAGTATAAACGTGGAATTGAGCCAACTTGTCAAAATTTGATTTGCCCCGTTTCGCACATTTCGTTGAATATTTTTGCCAGCCAGTTTATATGTTTTTGTTTAGTTTAAAAAGTTCTGACTCGGAAACAGCTTTGGAATCTTTAAGCATGTTTTTAGCTCCACTGATGCACCATTAAAGAGGAAATCCCGCAGCTTTCACAGGATATTCTTTCGAATTTAGTTCTTGATTTTTAAGCCAATATTCCAAATTTGTTCCCACTGATGGTTTAAACAAATTATTTATTGCTAATTTCCTGATCGCTAATGAAAGTTTTGAATAGCACTTAAGCGATTGTGTCACGCTAGTAGCAAATGACGGATATAGCTCTCTAATCTATTGTTAAAGCAGGCAATAAGAGAAGGCCATTCAAGTTAGGTGATAATAGACACAATCTAGAGATAACCGCTCTTAGAGCGCCAAACTTTTTGGAAACAAAGCTTTCGTGAGAGTTAAAGCACATAATTACATTCGACCGAATTGTTCTGAATTCAATTCAATTGGCGAATTAAGGTACCGGACACCTAATGACTAGGTAATATGAAATACGATATTTAATGGGTGAAAGCTGGGAATATTTTATGCTGGATGTTCCGATAACAATATGAATTTGGGAAAGCGATGGAGATATAAACTGGTGATTTGGCCACATTATTCATTCCATTCTTATATCATTCCTTTCTTTGCATCCACAAATAATAATTCATTTGAAGACAATTCAAGCTGGAGATTTATTGCGTAAAAATTTACAAAAATATTTTTTAGTACATATCCTATTTGCTTTTGCATTATTTTAATAGCCGTTGTCTATAACAAGTTACCCGTTACCCGCATAAGACGACTTCAGCCTTTCCAAATAATGTGGCTTTTCCATTTACTTAGTAAGAGGCAACGTTGAAAGGAAAACCTTTCAATCAGAGAAATATAAATCTGTGAATCGACGGGTTTATACGAGAGTTTCGAACAGCTTTGTCAATATTATATTATTTTTGTTCTTGTTGCTAGCAGCCACCATTTCCGGTTAGATTTATTTGTCTCGGAAATGCGTTCTGCTGCCTTGGAAAAATCGTAATTATTTTAGCTGCACAAAGATAATTTGTTTTACTTAGCTCATTCTTCTTTGACACAGATTCAGTCAATATTTATTTACTCGAGATCATTACGAACAGCCATTATTTATAGTTTTCAATGAGCTTGTTTTGATCGGTGTTCCAAGGTAAAAGCTTCCTTCGCATTCAGAGTGATGGAAATATTGCAAAAGCTTCGAAATAATTCCGAAATGGGCGCATAATCTGAAAAAAGAAACACATATCCAACGAACTATTTTCAAGAAATGTTCTATATTTTTCCAGATAACTGCTTAGATGCCCTAAGGAATGAAAGCATAGTAAGTATATAAATGAAAAGAGAATAGAATGAAAAACGTAATGCCTTTGAGGACCTTTTAAAACAGTATCTATCAATCAGATAAGATTTTCGGTAGAAACTCGTTTCTACTCTCGTGTTCACATGGTCGACTTTCTATTATTGCTTCATTTATGGCTCTACATGTGGATAACTTCCTAGGATTGTCGAAATCGAATAAAATGGTACAACATAAACGTAAAAGCTCCGAGTAAGCTACTCTATTAAAGTGGACTATTTAAAAAAAACTTTATGGTGAAAGATCAATTTAGATTTAGACTTTAACAAAAATTAATTTAGTAAGCGCCTTTTTCTGTAGGAAATAAAGGTTATTTATATATTTATATATATATAATTTAGTAACCAATAAGCATTAATAATTTCATTGTCGCACTTCGAGTTCACTGTCAGTAAATTTTTGAATGAAAATGTGGCATCTTATATCCACGCTGGGGAAATCGCTGAATATATTTTCAGCCGCTAAGTACTATTGAGCAAAAACAGAAGCTTTGCTTTTAATTGCTTTTCTAATATCCAAGACATCTGCTACGGTTTCATTATAATGGAATAAAGACGGTTCTTCAGATTTAACCAGAAGAGGAGAGGAATAATTGAGGAACAAGATATTTCACTTGAAAAAGGATTTATTTGACAATTTGTTCTTATAATAAGATTATTGTGAAGAATGTACCGAATTTCCTTTAAATATTCCTTATGGTCCGTCATCATTTCAATTATGCGGGAAAATCGGCCAAATAAATCTAAAAACACTGAACAGTTTCACAGCTAATGGTTTAGTCAAGCATTTACAACAACAAACTACTCAAATAAATTGCAAAAATATAGGCTACGTTTTTAAAGGTATTATTTTCTACGGTTGCAAATAGTCAAAATATACAATACTACGTGCAATATGCTGCCTATATTTCTTTGTGTACTTTTATAACAATTCAGTAAGGTCAGTAAGGTGTTCTAGACAGAACATTTCTTCTAGTTTATTGACTGGAAATTGAAAATAATAAAATATGTTATTTTTCAACAAATGAAAATATTAGTTTTATTTTATGGGTCTTGTGCAAGAAATACTTTTATTTAATGGGTAGACGTGCTTAGTTATCAAGTTATGCGGGACTAAAATGTTAGGTTTTCGCTGCTAGTGCTTGAAATCGCAATTTTCAACCTTTTACACCGCCGTCGAAAATAATGTCTTTATAACGTTTCGCAAGCATTGATCCTTCGAGGTGATTTTTTCTCGAAAGCTTTTCGGTGTAGGTTTTGAAGCAAAAACGTCTCTGAGGATGCGAGTCGCTCGTGTTTATGAAACATCAGGATTTTCTTCCACGAAGAAAGCAACTGGAAAGTTTGTAAACAAGCACATATATGTAGTTTTCTTTCGACCATATTATTCGAATCTCAACTGTTGCAACAGAACGTTATGATGAATTGCCGGGAAATTATTTAAAAAATCTGAAATAATTATTGTCCCATATTGCATATGCAAAGCATATTAGGAACTTTGATTTTTTTTAAATTGGGGTAAGCCTAAATGTACATGAACAGGTGTTGCTGTGATGGGCAAACTAATTTCGCTTCCATGAGTAACATTTGTTTCCTGCAAAATCTGTTCAATTTTTTAAATGTCCATGCTGAATAAATGTTCGGAACTCATAATCATCGGAATAATGGAAAGTCGGAGCTTTACAATACGTGTTACCTGTTATACATGAGAACATCGGGTTTCCAAAGCTTGTTCGGAGTTATTCTCAAGTCTTTTACTCCCGCATACTCCGAGTCGTTCCAGCGCAGATTGTAGTCTGTCCATTCCTGTAAATAGTGATTCTCTATATTGGAAATTCGACTAATGATTCGCGGAATTAATTATGAAATCCTCTGAAGCAGTAAAATTTAGACAAGAGCACCTAAATGTACATAATTGAATCAATTTAATCAGAGCTCGGATTACAATCGATTTTTCAATGGTGAAAGCCAAGACTGAAATTACTCTTGTAGCATTTAACTAAATTTGCAAAATTTATTGTTCAATGGTCAAAGACGAATTTAATTATGATGGAATCTTCTCCCTAAACAGCTTTAAAATATCTTCAGATTGCATAATGAAATATAAAGCGTAGTTTCTAGTTAAACAAAACAGCAAAATGAATAGCTAATTGCTTCAGCAGACTTCTATGAGATAAATTAACACAGTTAATGATTCTCTGAAGCCCAATACGTTATAATTTAGTGCGGGAACAATTTAGTAGATAAAGCAAGCTAATCAACATGCATTCAATGTAAAAAGTTGTTTTTTTCTTTAAGCCTGGTAATTATTCATTCACTATTTCTTTTCAGTCTAGTTATCATTAATTTTAGGCCTTTCATGACAAAACCCTATCTCGTTTACAGCGACCCTATAAATATAGTGTTAGGACATATTAATGTGACCGCACCTGAACTAGCGCTTGTAATTTCAGCAACTAATTGTTTTAATGTATAGTGTTTATATCGTGATAATGTGCTTTTGGTCATGAATGGTGCGAGAACATTTTTGATCCTTAGCGGAAGATCTACAGGAACTTTTTCATTTAAAGGACTATTTTTGTTGCCGATGTTAATTTAATTTTAATTCATTCATTGTCAAATTACCAACCTTCTTCTCGGTCAAGGGAATTTAAAAAAAAAATTGCCGATTTATACATTTGAACTATTTACTTTTGAATTACTCTGCATTCCCCTAGTGAAAAAAAAACGAATATTTTTAAGAAATTGACTTCTCGCGTTATTTGTGGCACTGGGGCAAAATGCAATTTCAATAATTTTGAAGTTTACTGTTTTAAATCAAATTTGATCTTCGTTCGCTTGGTACACATGTGACTGAATTGGCAATATTCCCCAGTACTACCGCGAAGCAAAGTCGTAAAAAAATGAATCTGAATGCAAAAAGAATCAGTTCGCAACGCCCAGAAAAGAAAGCAAAAAGGTTATTGCTATGCATCCCTAGAGAACAGCGCAACCACTTGTTGATACCTCCGAGAAAGCATTACAAGGATATAAAATAAAACCGTCGTTTAGAAATAGCGGCTTTTTAACGTGGCCCACAAGAAACATACCCACGCTCAATCGAGAAGTGAAAACAATTTAATTATAAATAAATAAACTTTCATGCGGCAATTCCTAATACTTCTGCTTCCTTCAATCGAGCTTTGCACAAAGTTGACAAACTACGCAAAACTTTCTGGTCACTTCAAATATTGAATGTTAACAAGCGGAACTGGTTGTTAAATATGCATAGTCTATTTAGGTTTTGTATAATATTTAATATATAATATCATATACCTAACTGATTAATGGTGTGTGATTTATCAAAACTATTACGGATTTTGATTAAACTTGTCTGCAAAATGATAAAACCCTTTACATGGTAATGTAAGTACGGGTAGTTGCAGTGTGTTCACAGCAAAGTAAATTGGTTTTGGATTGATTGGCACGTTTTCCAAGTGATTATAGGCGCAAAGCGCTACTTTTCCATTTAAAAAGACAGTTAATTGCTGTTAACAGCAAATATACACAGTCGAATTAATATTTATTTTGTTGCATTGCACTTTGTTGTCGTTTATTTGAATTAATTCCATTTGAAACAATAACGAAAGTTGAAGACCCCTTATAAAAAGTGCAAATCCAATTCCGCATAAAAGTCGTTTCACTTAAAATAAAGTGAAATTATGACAGCCGCAATAACGTGAGCGAGTGCGATTAATTCAGCATTTTGGGAATATAATGGCATCTTTTTATCCTGCCGAGCTCAGCTTCCCACAAAAGACTCTGAATGTGATATCATTTCTAGAGCTTTCTTTGTTCTTTTAATTTCCCACACTCAAACAAAATGCTGCTAAGTTTCTCTCGTTACTATTTGAAATATTACAACGCCCATAAGCATTTTTCCGCCTGGTAATTCTGTTTGTGTTTTACATTTGCGACTTAATAAACTTTCCATTATACTGTAGAGATAATAAAAACACTTCATTAAGCACATGTTTAGTGAAGTGGAGTGCCGAGTTCGAGGGTGCTTGTTTTTGTTAAATTTAAAATTTTATGGGAAGCTTTATTTATTTAGTTGAATTTTATTATTGGTAATTGACACAGTTTGCACAGAAGAAAAACGTCAATTATATTAATTCCCTGGGTAATTAAAGTCAATTTGAAGGCCAAAAGGCCTGAACATTAAATTAGGCAAACTTCAATTCCACATATCATGTTGGTTACTTGTACATCTTGGAAGAACAGCGACTTATAGCAGATTTTCGAGATTTGAGTCGAACTTTTCGCAGCTTCCATCACTATTCAGTTTATAGAATTATCTAAACGTTATTCCTTAAAACATAGGATTTTTACAGAAAAACAGTTGTTAGTAATTCAGCCAAAATAATCACTGGACGAATATGTATTACAATGCAATTTTTACAGAATATCATAATCGAATTTTAATGTCACTTCGATGCTTTGTGCATTCAGCAAAAAAAACATGAGAATTATACTTTCTTTTGTATTCTTAATTTCAGTTGAAAAAACCACCTTTTGGAGCACAAACCGTATTCATTTAAAATCCCTTGAGATTTCGTTTCGTTTCCCTTTATCATTAGCGAAAGATCTGCTTTAGGTCAGGAATCGTGAGCGTTATTAATTATGCTTATGGTTTTATTTAGACATAACGTCGAAAATTTCTCGCCATTTTTTTAAGAGCTTGGCTTTTCACTTACGGAGACTTATTTTACTTACGATCATTATTTAGAAGTTTTCAGAGATTTATGCCACCCTTCGCCACAAAATTGCCAAGAGCATCAGTATAAATTATTGAAGCGCATTTTACGTTGTTTCCCAGCTCAAAAAGTTCGCGCTTTGCAACAGCTAAGTGTAACATTCAACGTGTACATTGCTTTACGAAGTTACTTATTTTTGCGCCAGCATAGTAACAATGAAAATCAAGGCTTCAGTGTACGAAATTCTAAAACTCTGTTAGACTGAAAAGCTTAAAATTTAAGAGTATCGGGGATCGCAAGAGCTTACTTGCTACAAATTCAGACGGACTCGATCGTTTTCTGGGAAAAGTAACTGCCTTTAAAACTGCACTTGTTTATTTAGAACTTATCCACTTTTTAGTTGATTTAAAAGTTCGGAAAATACAATTTTTGAGAACAGCTAAATAGCTTCTCAAATACTAACCAGGACTAAAGACAGCAAAAAAGTTCAAAAATATTGGCCATATCGAGTGAAGCATTTAAAAATAATGTCCTTTCCCCAGTGGAAAAGACCACGACAATTTTTTTAAGAAAAGATTTTAATGACTTGTACTTACCAAATTCAGCCAAGCGTTGGTGGTAAGAATCTGATTCTTTTCGTCCTGAAACAAAAATATAAAAATCAGTTTCCTGATTCCATTTTCAAATTGCATGCTAAAACACAGAAATTTCTGTTTTTTTTGGAAAGAGTCCTGTTACATCCATGTGGAAAGCCAGAAAAACAGTTACATAATTCAAAACAATTTCAATTGAGCGTCAGAAATCTGTTGCACCAGTAGCGAAATATTTGTTGAAAGTTGGAATGTGCAGTAATTTAATTGTATCGTGGCCACATAGAACTAGGGATTACTTTTGGCCGGGTGCCAACTGAACACACCTACGTGTTTGTTTGTCAGCTATTTCTAATCAAATAGGGTTGGATCCGAATATTCGAATATTTAATGTTCGAAATCGGATCCTATTTTAAACAAAGTTTTCTCTTTATCCATTCGCATTCACCGGCAACCGTTACCAGGGTTTTGCAGAGAAATATATGCTTAATGTAAATTAAACTGATTAAAATGTATGTTTTTGCATTGCAAATTTCGTTTTAGTTTGAAGCTCTGAAATATTCCATCTGGTCCTCAATAAGCCTCTATTCGAGAGGTCATTAAAGCTTCAAACACTCCTTAAACCATAAGTTGCTCTTCAATCACTTAAGAAGAAAACTATTCAAAAGGGAAAAAGCGATAGGGCCAGATACAAAGGGCTTATTACCTGGTTTTATTCGATTCTTTTCTTGAATTGGACATATTTCGCCCTAAGCACTATTGTTTCCACTTCATTTATTCAGTCAGAATAGATTCCATTTCCCTGTCCAACATGCAACTATTTAGAAGGCAAACTCAATAATAAAATTCCATAATAACCGGAATTTTCAAAGTAAAACAATATTGATAAAATCGTGCCTTTGACGCACAAAGGTGGATCCGGTATTAGATACTTGAGAAAAAAGCATACATTATCTCGAGTATTCATAAAAATTTCAACTATTTCAAACGTCTGCACACTTTTGCAGATTACTACATTTGGCAAAAACAAGTAGGTAATTGAAAGTGAAGAGTTTTTGGGTTTGGAGGTAATTGTTGATGTTTCGCCAGCACGAGCGCCGTGCATCTTCAGGTGCTATTCGCGAGCTCACACTGAACCGATTGATTGACATTTTGATTGATTGTTTCCTAAGTTGAAAACTCATTACAGTACATTTTTCAATATCAGTTAATTGTTTCGCTGTTTAAATTGTAGTTGCAGAAATAAACATTCCTTCTAATTTCCGTTAAATGTTTATTAAGTAGTTCTACTTCTACCCATGCCTAAACTGAATATTTGCATAAGCAAAAAAACACCACAGTATTAGTTGCGAACGGAATTTAAAGCATTTTGCATAGTTTCCTCCTTCGCAAGCAGCAAAATATCCACTGCGAGCAAATTTCACGCCCACTAGAAATAATCTAAATGGACTTTCGAAAGCAAATTCTAGATCTGCTCAGCACGGACATTTGGTTTTGCTTATTGGCATGCGAATATTTACAAATCCATTAACAGCTACAACGCTGCTATTCCTAGTAACAAAACTCCGCCAGTTTAAAGGTCTGCATATCCTAATAATCCAAATGCTACTAACTAGCTTTGAATTAGGTCATCCAAACTAGTTTATGCGCTGGAAATTAGGTAGTTGCTATGGGATTTACTGTGCAATCTCGAATTAAATCTATTAAATGCTGTGTTCTTGAACTTGGATGACATTAGTGAAAAACAACAAGCGGAACAAGTGCTATTTCGCATGTTCAAATTAATTAATAAAGTGGGTGGAAAACACGTTAATAGAAAATATTGAAAATGTTGGTATAAAGTATCATAAAATTTGTCATTCAGGAAGGTAAAAGTGAAATTGTACATGCACATGTATATCATGCTTTGACACCCCCTTAGAACATTTATCTCAAAAAATGGTGAAAAGTGGTAAATACAAAATTTGATTATTTTTCCTTACATTTTAAGTCTGAAATAAAAGGCGTTAATGTGACATTAAGTCACTTACTATGGATTTTCATACGTATTTTCAGGCAGATCGATAGGATTTTTGTTCCCGATTTCAGAAATATTTATATTGCCTAGATTTGTTTTTGCCGTTTTCTTTTAAAACGTTTAAAAATTGCAAAAAGCAACAACAAATCAATGCTGCAAAGCAACAAAAATCATAGAGACATTAACAATATTTACTGATATTAAATATTGAAAATTATACATTAAAGTAATAAGATTAGCGATTCTCTATATGTCCTCCACTTATCTCTAAGAGGCCTTAAGTCGGGGCTATTAACGGGCCATTCATTTCATTTCATTCAATTTTCATTTAAGAAAAGTGCAACTGTTTACACGTTGTGGGGTTGATAAGATATTTAATTTCCATCCGTACAGTATGATCAGTTTAATTACTGAAAAGACGTTGAAAATTGCAACAAACTAGCCTAGAAAATTAAGTATACTTGAAAGTCCGATGTCTAAACATGTCCGAAGTTGAAACAATATCCAGATCACTGTTCTGAAAATAGTCTGCATAATGAAGTTGGCTCCACCTAATAGGAATTTATGAGTTTATTGTTTGAAGCTTTCTGTATTATTCCCGTGCTTTTACCCCTACGTTTCGTTGTTGGGAATTTCGATATTAAAGGTTTATTATATGATTGAAACGTTTCAGTGGTATTGACGCGTATATATCCCAATTCGAGGATTTATAATATAATTTATATTCGTCAATCTCATTCTGTGTATGACACACACGCAATGCGGGCATTTACATTGTTTTGTCATATTTGAGTAAAACCGTGATATATGAAACATCGCGTTTGGAAACTTTCCTGATTGGCTGAAGTTACCTGATCTAGGTCCCAAGAGTTGATAATGACCCATTGCTGTAACGCAATATTCCACTTGAAATTAATAGATGATTGTATTACGCTGTTCGATGTTGCGTTTCGATATGGTCATTGATTTGATAGCGCTTAATATAACTTATGACACACAACAATAATTTGTTGTCAATGCAGGCCAGTTTAGATCTGGATGAGCTTTTTGGCTTTAACTAATAGTGCTTACCACATCAATGATTTGCTGCAAAGTAATGCCGAACCTGACACTTAGTGGCTCTGATTCATTTGCTACTGGCCTCTCCAAAATGTTGTAATTGTCCAAGAGCTTGTTGAGCAACGTTTTTTCGTAGTATCCCTGTTGCGAACCTGAAAAAAAAAATGCCAGCTCAAAACACGGTTCAAACATCTGCTTAAATCTTCCAGGTGGATAAGAAATAAAGATAAGTTCTATATTGTTGAGGCGGATTCATTTTTTACAAACTTCTTTTTGGGTATTTCGCCTCAAAAATTTTTGTCTTTAGAAAAGACAGAATTTCCTCACGTCTTTTATTAAAGACAAAAATTTTTGAGGCGAAGTACCCAAAAAGGAGTTTGTAAGAAACAAAGATGTTTAACTAAGATATAAAATATCGAAGCAAAGACCTTTAATGAGCCATTTCTCTAATGTTTGTTTGTTCATTTCCTTGTGCGTCTGCCAGCCGATGACTGCTGATTTAATAATTTATTTAATACGTCGTATTGACGGTCGCAATAACCGTTTATGGCCCATGGATAGAAAAGAAACTTCTTTTATCATATTTTTGTTCATGGAAAGCTGAAATCTCGATCAAGGTAAGGAGAATTTCCAAATTTAATGTAGCATGAAAATTCGGTTTTAATAGCACGAGACATTTGATCCGTAAGATCATTATCATGCTTCATAGAATCAAACTATAATTTCTCGGTTACCGTCTATTTATATTCTTAAATTGGAACGCCAGTTCATCGACCATTAAGTAGTGATTAAGTCATGAAGTTTCCAGTTCTCGAAATCCACGACAGTTCTGACCCATTACGATAATACCAGCAGAAAGACTTTACAAAAGGTTTTTAGGTTTATATGGCGCAATATTAACATGTGTTTTAGGCGCAATATTAACATGTATCGAGAAATGTTTAAACTGATGATAGTATTGTGAATAGCTTACATTACTTTTTCGTTTGATAATTTTACATAATTTCTATGTAAGCCTTTAGACAGTGAAATTTGTTCTTGAATTGTACTCTCAGAGTCCTCACATTTTTAAATATATGAAAGGTTCATTGAATAATAAAAAAAACTGAAATAGTCATATTTACGATTTCAGACTTTTGTAAAATATTTCTTTTAGCACTTAACTGACTATGAAACCAATTTTGTCTAGGGTCCACTTTAAAAATGTTAATTTGCGACAGTCTTAGGGACGACAATGTGAAATATCTCGAAAACTATGAAAGATATCGCAAGTACAAATTTTTCGTTTAATAAATATCGGAGAACAAAGCATTCCCAACAGAAAGACGATATTTAAAAACCCAAAAAAACTCTGTTGTTTTAGATGTCTCCAGACTGTTGCAGCGAACGCCTTTGAGGAATTACGAGCTAACGGGAAATTTGGATTCCTCGATCTGGAAAATCCCAAAACACGAAAACTTTGGTAATAGTGAAACTGGTTAAGAATTTGTTTTAAAGAAACGAACACCCTGTACTTCGGAACCGTATTATTTAAATACTAAAACTATTGTTTTGCCACTCAAAAGATGGTAAATCCGAAGCTTCACTATTCCTTTTTAAGGCACTTTTTATTGACTTCTTGTCGTGTATCACTACTGATATTAATGCTATCAACTATATTGTTCTTCAATGGAAAAATACTGTCCTCTTAAGCACGTTGTGATAAGAGATGTTTGTTGGTTGGAATACAAGAATCATGGAAACACTGCTTTAATTTCATAAAATAATCAAGTTGTAATTTAACTAAACAATTCATAATAATCAGCACTTCAATATTAACCTTCACCTTTATTCGATGATCAACGGCAATTTCAGTTCAGCAGCTTTCCAGCTGTTCAACAATGTCCCATTGCATTTACTACTGCATCAAATTTACTTCCAGTTGCACTAAGCGCCTCAAACTATAGTTACATTAGAGTAATTGTTTTCAGTTTATGTCTCCCATTTCAATAAAATCTTTTTGAATGATTCAATTTAATTATCTGATGTTCAGTTTATTTTGACACGTGTTGATTTAGATTTCTGTAGATCCGGGTTTGCCAGTTAACATGCACATTTATATCTAGGAATCTCAAATACATGCATATCGTGCGAAACAATTTACGTGCACCACTTGTGGATTAGAGACACATTAAAGCACTTGAAGTGTAAGTACACGGAACTGAGTAAGAGACTATATCATTAGATAATGTAAATATTTTTTCATTCTTCATATATACTAGAAAGTTTTAGACGACTGATTATTCCTTATAGGTAGTTAGAAACGTTACAATGATGAATAAGTTTCTAATTGTGCTGTTGGCGCCTGCCTTAATAGCTCTATCAAATGCATGTAAGTACATCTGCATTAATATCCAAGTGTTCCGAAATATTCGTCTTGAACTTATAACAACTAAGTATTAAATATTATTCACGTATAACATCTGAAGAAAATTAGTATACATTGAGCAAGCACAAATTTAAATTAATTCACTTTTAACATTAGAGGGTTGATTTACGTAAATGTGGTGCATAACATGTTTCTCCTCGCAATAGTATCCTCATAATTTTCTAATAGTTTTCTGTTTACAGCTGTAATTCCTCGAGGTGCAATTAGGGATGTGTATGAGCCCGTTCGTAAGTATTTCGTCTCGTAATTCACAGAAACAGTTAATAGCGCAATGTATTGAATTTTTTAGCCCAAGATTGCCCAACGGCAGACGGATCAGCTGCCACATATTACCCGGCAATAAATTGCTCAAAGTTCTGGGAATGTTCTAACGGCGAACCATATTTATTCGACTGCCCATCCTCATTGGAGTTTGATCCCGATTCTAATGTATGCAGAGATCCCACTCTTGCCCAATGCACTGGACAAGGATGGTCAACAACTCCTGCTCCAGACACTGACGGGCCACCTGCACCACCATCCACTGATTCATCTAGTACATCTTCGACAACTGAATCTACAACATCTTCGACAACTGAATCTACAACATCTTCAACAACTGAACCTACAACTTCAACAACTGAATCTACAACATCTTCAACAACTGAATCTACAACATCTTCGACAACTGAATCTACAACACCTTCGACAACTGAATCTACAACATCTGCGACAACTCCATCTACAACCACTACTGAGACTACCACAACTCCAACTACTACAACTACCGAAAGTACAACAAGTAGTACTACTACAAAGACCACCACTAGTCCTACGACAACCGCCAAGGTTACAACAACTACTGAAGATGATTCCGATTCAGATTCTAGTGATGATGATGACTCAGACGATGATGATTCAGACGATGATGATGATGATGATGATGACGACGATGATGATGATGACGATGATGATGATGATGATGATGATGATGATTCAGACGATGATGATGATGATTCAGACGATGATGATGACGACGATGATGATGACGACGACGATGATGATGACGACGACGATGATGATGACGACGATGATGATGATGACGATGATGATTCAGACGATGATGATGATGATGTGTATAAATCCAAGAAACATCACTCAAAAAAGCGCCAAGCACATACCAAACGAAGCAATGATCTTCTGGATATTAATGCGTTCTACAAAAAACTGATTTCGAAGTTCACTTTCAATAATGCTTAATTTTCAATTTTTTTGGTAGTTATAGTTATTTATGAAAAATATGTTACAAGCTTGAGCATATGCGAGTACAGCACCTCCATCCGTGGGCGTCCAGTGCTAATGTACTTAATAAAGAATTTGAACTCACGTTGATGTATGTAAGAGAATATCTCAACATTGTTGCTAATAAACATTGATAGCAACAGGTAACCCTTAGAAAAGTAACTAACAAACCCATCCTAAGGCACGTTTGACCTATATTAACTTAATATTTGCATGTGCATTATGTGCAGAGTTCCCAATGCACTGGAATTAATACTTTCTCACCGACTGCATATAACTGCTTCAAGCTGTTTACCCTCATTCTTTATTCGTGTATCGTATACTTTGCAGTTTAAATGCAACTTCTCATATACTGCTTACATTGAATTTTCAAATACAGGCAAGTCGCATGTCGTATTGTAATTGTAATATTCCTTGTCACATAGCGGCTAAGCCTGGATTGCGTAATCCACTACCTGGAGTAAATTTTGAAAGCAAATAATTTATTTACCAAGTAGGGAGCATTTTGGAGGCATTGTGGACGTGACAAGAGTTGACAGCATACACCACAAGCTGAGCTTAGCAGAAAATCAAATTCGGCAACTATTAAATTTAAGGAATTTCAGTTCCACAAAACCAAGCCTAAAATCACTAGATTTGTGGCATTTTAAAGGAGGAGCCTTTGATTAAACTATTTCCATGTCACTCTTCTAATCGATATTAACCCAGATTTAGCAAGCTCGTGGAGGTTTTTTGGATTCTGCTTCGTTATTGTTTATTATCATGATTTGATCACATTTCTAGAGTTATTGATGGGGAAGACAAATAAAAATCGGAAATTATCAAAGCCTTTTTGTGTACTTTTCAAAAATTTGCGTATAATGGAAAATCAGGACGTTACAGTTTACACGATCAATATGGTGCCAGATTTGGGCTAATACATGATCCAAGACAATGCTGTATTGTTTAGGGAACATTCACGCAATGATAAAATGGAAATATTCAGAAACCCGCAGTGATAATGGGGAAGAAATCTCCTTTTAACTACTTGTTATTTTCCTTTAGTGTATTTTATGTATCTTTTACAGTAACTGTAGATGCTGCTGAGTTATCTGAATATTCTGGAACAAATTGCCTTAGAAGTTCACTACCCTGTTAGGTTCATTTTGTCAAATCCATAGGGCGAAAATACAATTCGCGTAGTTTATGTGTTGTGGCTTTGGAGAACACGTGTTGATAAATGTGATATCATATAAGTCTTAAAGTGGCAATACTGCTTTGGCTCAGCGGTTCGACTGTTATTTTATATGAAGGAGGTGTCATTTATTTTTATTCTCGCCTTTATATATTGAGGCACAACTGAGTGAAAATATGTGGAAAGCTGAGCTTTTCTCAATACCTTGTCGAGTAAACGATTTACGTCAGCGAAACTTGGTTAATTGCTTACGTGGGCACTATTTGCAATTAGCAGAAATATTGATATCCGTATTGGTGTTCTGGTAACGACTATACAATATCATTGAGTAATAAATTCAAGGCACGTAATTGCAAGTGAACGCACAGCCCATAAATAACGTCGACAAGTACTGAAATATTTTGGAGAAATTTCTTTAGAGAGAATATTTAATTTTCCACTGCTATTGTTTTCTTAACACAGAACTGACGGCCTCAACATATACAAATTGCCCGACAATTACTCGTCATGAATAGCTAAATGTATAACGTTGAAAATATACCACCCGTTCACCTAAACGACTAATCAATACCTATGAAAAAAATATCAGTCTTAGGGTATTCGAGGAAGATTCCAAAAACGATTTGCCAACCCCTATTCCATCACATTTGACTGCTTTTACGACTTAAATTTCTAAATTATTAGTCGATTTCCTCTCTTGCTAGCCGAGGGAACAAGGCAGATAGTAAGTAGTCTATTTAACACAAAAATATCTTTAAATTTCATTAATTAACAAATGCTATTGTTTATATTTCTCTATGAGAGCAACAATGGATCACAGTATGTGGAAATTTGAGTAGCATCCACAACAAAATATGAGTAAAATTAAGAATACCACCGACACTGAAACGGTTTCTACTATTTAGAACGCATTTTTAATGACATAATTAAATATGAAATGATTGCATGGGGTGAAGCTTATGGCACCTCCATTCAACTACAAGAAGTAAAAAATAAAATCATTGACTAAATCAAATTCATAAATAAAAAATACCCACTCAGTGAACAATTCAAAACAATTATTCCACCATGAAAATCTAGGAGAAAACAAACAAACATTTTCATTGGACAAGCACAAAAAATCATTTTTTTATAAAAAAATATTTTTGTGGCGATACAGATTTCTAAGAATCTACTTATTGTTTCAAAACAGTAATGCGTTATGCGGTAGCGGGCGAAAAGTTAAAACAAAACTCAAAAACTATGTCAAAGAGAACGAATTGGGCTAATAACAAACAAATTAATATCATAAAGTCATGTTGAAAAGTTAACATTTTATTCGTGAAATTATTATGAAATGTTTGCAACCAAAGCGATTTAAAAGCACAAACAAGTACTAACTCGCTCTTTAGTTTTAAGTTAGTCTCTAAGTTTCTGTATGTATTTTTCTCTTTTCATGTACCATTTTCTATGTACGTACAGATAATTTGGTCTATCCTACTTTGTAAATCGGGATTTATGAATGACTAGCTTCAGTTTCCATTCCTAAAATCCTATGTTGCCCACTAAAGTGTTCTTAAGTATATTTATTCTACTTGAATTGTGCTAGTTCAAAGGAAATATAGTCAAATGCAACTTCGTTTTGCGATTAATATGTTCCGCGATTTTATACCTTTTAACCGTTGAAGTCAACAGGTCTTTTGGAAACTTCGCGCAGAGGGTGGCAATGCTTACAGATGAAATCCCCTTATATTTCCAACGAGTGAATTCCCTCAAAACTACAAGATTAGTTACCGAGAATATCCCCTGAATCAGTCAGCTATCTGTCGCTAAGTCGTTTTCGAGACCAAGGGGAAAACGGCGGCACGTTTTGTTTACAAACGACGTTTGTGGTGTAATTATGCAACTTGAGGAGTTCAACAAAAAGGTCCTTTTCACCATTGTTTGTCGGTTTGAATAAGTCTTTCCATTTACACAGAAGACGAGGCAAAGAATCTAGATCAGTTTCAGAAACTGGGGTATATAAGCAAACAAGGTTTGTAGAATGAAAATAAACTTGCAAAATTTGTACGTTTTTCAAATACCATTTGAAACTTATTTGCATATACTTGTTTGTGCGTTCTCCAAGTCAGGAGCATGAACAAACTTCCGGGTAAAATGTTTTTCCGTAAAATATTAAACACATTGTTTCCAAAGTGGTAACAACATTTTCTTTCAGTTGTAAGTTGTTGCCCGTGTATTTCAACCCGGGTAACCCGAAACGCACAAAAACTTGACAGAAATATACACTTGAGGAATTTCGGTGTTGCGTAACTGTTGTCGTTGCGGGACATCTGCTGAAGCCCTCTAGGTGCTAATACTGTAAATGTATTTCAGGAAAGCGTATTTATGAAGTCGGTAAGTTATCCAGGAAGTTAAACTTCGATATTTTGGGTTATATGAAATGGCCTCTTTCGTGGCTTTAAGCTTGAAATGTTCCCTCAAACGAATATAAAACGTTTTAAGGTGTATATTTTTTTCAGGCCAAATAAAATCTGGCGATAATTCGAGTAAATTGAATCCATTTTCAATTCCAGTTTCCAATTCCATTTCACTAAACACATGCTCTACACTGAAGGGCAAGGAGAGCGAAGCGCCACCAACTAAATTAACGTGAAATCAAACAGTAAATACATCAAGTAATTTCTCCATTAATACCTAAAAGCCCTAATCCTTCGAAGAAATACCACCTAGTTAGTATGCCCCAGCACTTGGTGTTGATAGACCAACAAAAGGCAATCTACTAGACAGAGCTAGACACTAACAAGGTAAATATTTTATAGAATTAGAAAAGGGTCTGCGCTAAGAGGGGTGCCCATTAACGCCATGTTTACTCCACTACTCGCAAGAGCAGCGAAGGGTAAACTTGTCACGCTACAAGAATTGCACAGAACTTTTCCAAAGTACAAACTTTTCCTGCCTTAGCAGAATAGAAACCCTTAAAATGTATATCCAGTCTAACACTAGTTTGCTCCTCTTAAATTGAAATAACAAATTTGATTTAAAGTGGCAACAGTTGGCTCTTCATCGGGAGTTCTGTACAAAAAACTAAAAGTTTTGACATGTATCTTGGTCGCTATTAACTGTTAAGTTATACTCCCTACTTACGTAAAGTTGTGTGATGCAATAGAATGAAAATTTGAACTGGCAGCTGCATGAGCGAAATTGCTCAACATCTAACTGGAAGTTTTACCTTAAAGTCGCTTTAAATTGACTCATCCTAATTGAAATTTCTTTAACATATTTTGTAATCATTTGATGTCGACTTGTTCAATATTTTTGGTTCCTTAACTTTTTCAATTTCCAGGTTTCTACCAGCTCTATCATCTAATTTCAGTTTTCAACAATTTTTGCACAACTTTGAGTGGTTTTATCAAATCCGAGAAATCTGAGGGTAAAAATTGCCAAATAGCACCGTAAGCAAAAGAAATGTTGGAAGAATAATTTTAATTTTTTACAAACTTCTTTTTGGGTATTTCGCCTCAAAAATTTTTGTCTTTAAAAAAGACAGAATTTCCTCACGTCTTTTATTACAGATTGATAA